TATATATATATATATATATATATATATATATATATATATATATATATATATATATATATATTGTTAATTAAAGTTTTATTTAATACATTAAAATTATTTTTTTTATATTATTTTTTATTAAATCTTTAAAAAAAAAATTCATATTTAAAAATAAATAAAATAAAAGTTAAAATATTATTTACATACACAATAGAACAAATTAATATTAAATAGACTAGAATAATAAAAGCGTAGAATATAAAAAACTTATTTATTTCTTTTTTTAAATTAATTTTTTATAATATCTTTTTTTTTTTACATTATTATTAATTTATATAATAATAAAAAACTAATATTTGATATATCAAACAATTAAAATATATTAAAAAAATATACTTTTTAATAATATTAGAAATAATATAACCTATAAACTTATAAACATTTATTTAATTAAAAAAAATCATAAATATTTTTTTGAAAAAACCACATAATTTAATGATAATTGCTCTTATAATAATTAATAAAAAATAAAACAAATAAGAAAAATTAAATATAAACGTGAAAATAAATAAAAAAAACGTAAATATATTACAAAAATAAGAATATAAGTAGAAGTCAAATTAAGAATAAAATATATATATTAAAAAAATAAATATAAAGAATACTTTAAGATATAAATTATATAAAATTGAGGGCCAAAAACATGCTTTATTTAATATTAAGTTCAAAAAATAATAAATTTAATAATAATTATAAAAAAAGACTTTATGAAAAGCATAAAAAAATAGTTTATTTTAGATATTTTAATCAGTATAATAGAAATATAAAATCAACGAAAAAACAAAAAAAAACGAAGAAAAAATCAACTAAAAAACACGAAAAAAAATAAAAAAAAAAGGAATAAGTTATTTCATTAATAAGAATACCCAAGAACGAATATAATTATAAAATCAAATAATAAATAAGTTATTAATAATAATAAAGCAAAGAGAGATATTTTATTTAAAAAATAAATAAAAACACACAAATAAAAGTAAAGATATTATTCCGTTGAAATAAAAGAAAATTTTTCGAATTTTTAGAAAAAATATATATATATATATATATCATGCTTTTACAACTCCTTTTATATTTAATAATTCAGGTATTTCTTAGATTTATTATATTCCTAAAGTTTCTTATAAAAATAATACTGAAAAAGAACCCAAAAACTTATTAAACCTAAACTAATCATAGGATTAATACCTATTTAATTTGAAAAATCTACAATATAGGGAGAAAGGAAACTTCCTATAAAAAAAAAAATATAAAAAAAAAGTTATATTATAAAAAAACTATAAACCTGTACATCCCATAGCAAAATTAAATCCATAACCAATAGATTTGATAGTAATAGGATATATTTCACCACATAATAAAATCATAAGACTAAAAATAAATATATAAATTAAATATAAGAAAAAAACCTGAAAGTTATAGACAAAATTCCTCTAGCTAAAGCAATAATTAATGTCTATATATTTTTTTACCAACAAGAAAATTCTTTATTTATACAAGTGGAAGGAATATTAATAAAATAAAAAGAAATAAGTAAAATACAAGATATTATAAGTGATAAAAAACATCCCATTTTTCTTTTAATTTTATAAGAAAAAATATCTGATAAAAAGTATCCGATAAACTCTCCAATTCCTATATATAAGGAGTTAATTTCAAATGAACTCCCGACTTAATCAAGTGATACTTATATTCCGTAATACATAATATGAGGAACTATGTATAAAATTAATATTAATAAAGTGTTTTTTCTTTAAGATTTATATGCAAATAAATCTAGATAGGAGTATACTCTATTTTTATTTAATAAGCTGCCATCTTTTAACTAATGTTATTATATTTATTATCTATTATTTAATTTGGCGATTTTATTTAATGCTTGGATGCATTTATATTTATTTTTTTAATATAAATATCGAGGTGAATCTTATAAAAATAAATAAGGAATAATCAAACATAAGGTAAATGGTATTGTAAAAAAGAATAGCATGCAATATTTCCAATTAGGAATTATTTTAATATCCATACATATTACATTTCATTTAAAGACCATGCTACATATAACAAAATCATAGCAATATCTCTAAATTTACCATCTATTTTATTAATTTATTTATTTATTTTATTATATATTTTAAATTTTTAACTTGAAAATTCATTTAGTAATACAATTATTAGAACTGTAGTTGGGAACATAGTTAAACCCATTCCAAAAGACGAAATTGCAAAAAGAGTAGGATTATTTGAAAAATTATATGAAAATGAAAATATAACGGCTAATGTATACGATATTTTTATAGCAAAAATTCGACCTTTGTTATCGGATATGTAATTAAATAAAAATAATCCTAATATACTTGATATGTAGGGAATACTTTGAAGTATTGTACGAAACGTTCGCATTTCACAATATAAATTAAATTATAATGAAATTGTTTATGTTTTTTCTAATTATGGTCTTGATAATATGTCTTTATTGCATGCTCCCTTATTGTTTTTTTGTTTAAATATATTTATATATATATTTATATATAAATATATATATATATATATATATATATATTAAATTTTTTATTTTTTTTATTACATTGTATTCTGTACAATCTGTCCATTCTCCTATTTTATTTTGACATTAAAAATCTGGAGTACTCACGTAATATGGGAGTACCATAAAATTAAATGTTGCGATAAAGTATATTAATACTGTTGCTAATACTATTAGTTTTTAATATATTTATTTTTGGCCAACTATTTCCATGGCCTCATTTTATAATTAAATTATTTTTTTACTTTAAATAATTTTACTTCTTCAATATTTAAAATAGTTTATTACTAATCTTAATTAATTTATTCATTTAATACAACTTAGAGGCTATTATTACTTTTTGAATCAAAGGTTTCATCATACATTTCTATTTATATTATTTTTATTTAAGGGATTATAAAATAAATATATTTATGAATATAATTATTATGTATACATATATAATATATAACATAAAATTATATAATTTAACATTTTAAAAATAATTTATAATATATTTTAATAAAAGATTTTTAAATTTTCGTAAATTACTAAATCCTTAAAAATATAATTATAAAATCTCAAGTTTATAGATTAAAAATATTATAATACTTATATAAAAAGTATATGTAATTATATTAAATTATTTATATAAAAAAAAAAAGTGTTAATATACTTCTTTTGTTTTTAATAAATTTATATTAATTTTATTCTTATATAAATAAATTATAATTAAATTAAAAACAATATTATATCTTTAAATCATATTTTATTAATTAATTTTTTTTTTGTAATTAATAGATATAAAAATAAATAATACTGATTTATATAATAAAAAAAATTAGCAGAGAGAGGTTTCGATCCTCCGACCTTTGAGTTATGAGCCCAACGCGATTCCACTTCGCCACCCTGCTTATTACAATATTATATTAAAAGAAAATAAAATAATTAAATATTTAAAATATAATTATAATATGGTAAAAATCATAAAATTATATTTGATATTTTTTAATAATTTATGTTTATTATAATAATATATATTTGATTTTATTTTTTATTTTTATATATTAATATAATTTTATATTTCATAAAATGTGTCTGTTTTTAAATTATATATATATTTTTTTTTAATTAATTATATAATTAAAATAAAACCGATATTAATTTATAAAATAAAAAAAATTAGCAGTGAGAGGTTTCGATTCTCCAACCTTTGGGTTATGAGCCCAATGTGATTCCACTACGTCTCTCTGCTGCACCCTGATGGGTAAAATATTATATTTATATAAAAAGAGTATAAATAAAATAGATATTTCATATATTATAATAAATATTATTATATATAATTTTTTTTTATAATTATTGTTATATTATTATAATAATATAAATTTATATATATTTTATATGATATCTTTTTAATTAATATATATTAAAAATTATATTTTTATTAAAATGATGATGTCATACATTAATATATAAACAAAAATATTTTGTTTATATATATTTTTTTTGTATAATAAAATTTATAAGGCTTAAAAATTATAATACAAAAAATCAATAATATTAAAAACTCCAAAAGAATTATCCAATTATTGAATTATTTATTAATTTCCATCACAACTAAATTATGGAAAATATATGTTCTCGTTACTATTATCTGGACTTTCTATAATTGTATTTCCTCTGAATATTTTATAAGGAGCTTTATCCATATATTATAATAAAGGAGATTTCATTTCTTTTTTAAGAATTATATTCCAATCCATATTATTAAAAAAAGGATGTTTTTTTATATTATCAATACCATTAGAGCCCAATCTATTATTTGGATTGCTTTTTAATAATTTAGAAATTAAATCTTATGCTTCTATTGACATATAATTAGGGTAATACTATTTATTATTTACTATTAATTTATATAGACTTTGTTAATTTTTTGAATAAAAAGGCGGTTTTCCAACTAATAATTCATATAAAAATATCCCTATAGTCCATAAATCTATTTATTTTATTTTTATTATTAAAAAAAAAAAAAAAATATTTATATTTTTTTTTATATATATATATATATATATTAAATAAATGATTTACCTACATTTTTATTTTGTTGTTTTTTTTATATTATTTCAGGTGCCAAATAAAACGGAGTCCCAAAAGGCACGTTTTCTTTATTTGAAATTTTATCATCTTAATGTTCTTTTGCTAACCCGAAATCAGCCAATTTAATATATCCTTCGTTATCAATAAGTACATTTTCAGGTTTTAAATCTTTATATGTTACTTATAGAGTATCATGTAAATACTAAATAGCTAAAACAATTTATGAAATGATAAATTTGGCAACATTTTCATTAAAAGAAGTAACTTTTTCTAACAAAGAATAAATATTTCCATATTGCATATACTCTAGTATTAAATATAATTTTTTTTATGTTTAAAACGATTAAACAAGTTTAAGAATAAAAGGGTGATTGTTCTATTATAAGATTTTTTTTTCTAATAAAGTTGATTTTATTATTCTTTCGTTTTTTGAAATTTTTTTCTTTTCAATAATCTTCATTGCATATTGCTTATTATTCTACTTATTTCTCACTAAAAATACTTATCCATATGAACCTTCGCCCAATTCTTGGACTTTTAAATAATTCTTTTGATTATTTTAATAAACACTAATAGTATGCTTGAATGCTGTATTATCTAATTAGTAAAAATTTGCTTAATATTTTAATTATTATTCGGACTTTTTTTTTTTTTTTTTTTTGGTTTTTTTGTTTTTTTTGTTTTTTTTTTTTTTTTTTTACGAAGGCTTTTTATAATTTGGTTATTGGATTTTATTAAAATATAGACGACTGTTATTGATTTTTTGGTCTTTCTATTTAATTTATTAGGGGAGGCTAAAATATTGTACTACAACATCCCATTTTATTTATATTTCTTTATTATTAGATGTTTTTTTTGTTATATTTTTTTACTTTTTATTTTATATATATATTATATATATTTTTTATAATAAATTTTGCAAAATTTATTCTTTATTTTAATAAAATAAAAGTTTAATTTATTTTACTTTTTTTATTTTCTTTTTTCTAAACAAAAAATAGTAATCAAATAATTAAAAATATTTAAATCAAATAATTAAAAATATTTTAATAATTATTTTGTTAAATAGCGTAAAAAAATACAATAAAACAACAAAAATACTAATTAAATATACATAATTAAAAAAAAATACAAAAAAATCATCCGTTTCCTCTTCTTTTCGATAATCTCCAAGCCTCGGGATCTCCATATTTATTAGAAAGTGATTCTAATTTTTCTTATTTTTTTATTTTGGAAAGATTACCCGCACTTGCATATTAAAAGAAAGAAGGAGCGACATCAACAAGCCATTTCGGATCAATTTTAGTAATGTTTCTCATATATTCTTTACTTGTCAAAACCAACTCATGATAAACTACCCATTCAGGCGATTTTTGGAAAAGGGCAGAAGTAGGATGAATAAAAACTGTGTGATTGTCCATAATTGTTTTGTAGCCTTCGACTCTATCTTTTTTTGCTGCATGATTGAAAAATCCAGAGCATATTGCTTTTCGTATTTTGGCGTAATTTTTTCCACAAGACTATATAGGCAAATGATATCTTTCCATAATGCCTATTAATTATTTCCTTATATCTTAAGCCCTTCGGATAGTTCGGGCATCAATAAAATTCTCGTGACACCATATATTGGAGAAATTGTTGGCTTTCCAAGCTTCGTAGACTGTTAAAAGGGTCAAATGATCACCTTCTACATGATAAAATTTGGCTCTTCTTTAATCAGCCTATTGTTTTTTGTCTTTGGGCGAAAAAAAAACATTCTAAACTGATAACATGGCTATTATTGTAGCTATTTCGTCTGAACAGGCTAGATCTACACTTGTAATCAACATTTTAGACATGGGAGGTTCTAAGGGAAATTCAGCCATTTTTAAACCTAGTCTAGTTAGTAGACCTTCGTCGTCCAAACAGCCTAAGTAAAATAATTACTCCATTGCCTATATTAATGTTTATACGGCAGGAGGGTCCATAAAATCGAAGTTTAAAAGGTCGTTTATGCCCATTGCCTTTAACAAAAGTACGGTATTTGCTAGATTTGTTCTTTGAATTTCGGGAACTGAGGTTGGTAACATTTCGTTTTTGAAAGCTTCTTCAGTGTATAGCCTAAAACATTTACCAGGACCTGTTCTTCCGGCTCTTCCTGCTCTTTATCTGGCGGAAGCCTAAGAAATGGGAGCTATAATTAAACTATCCATACCTAATTTAGGGTTATAGACCTTAACTTTAGCAAAACCAGGGTCTACAACATAATAAATACCATCTATAGTTAAAGAAGCCTCAGCTATATTTGTAGCAATAATGCATTTTCTAGTCCCTTAGGGTGTTGGGAGAAAAATTCTATTTTAAAGTTCCTAAGGAAGGGCTGAATATACTGGAAGAATAATTAATTCGGGTGCTTCAGTACCTAGTTTTTTCATTCTTTCGAATAAAATTTAACAGGCATTGTCTATTTCTTCCTATCCGGTTAAAAAAAGGAGGATATCCCCAGATGGCTCGTGTAAATGTATCTACATAATAACTATTAAAGAAGCGTCAACATAATCACTTTCTGGTTCGGTTGAATATAGGACTTCAACTTTATATGTTCTACCAGGAACTCTGAAAATTCTACAGTCGAAAAAATAAGAGGAAAATTTTTCAGCATCTAGGGTTGCGGAAGTAACTATTAAAGTAAAGTCTTTGCGCTTTTTGACAACTTTTTTAAGTAAACCGAAAAGTACGTCGGTTGATAGTTAACGTTCGTGGGCTTCGTCGAGCATTATGCATGAATAAGCAGTCATATCAGGGTCTAATAAAGCTTCTCTTAATAGCATACCGTCTGTCATGTATTTTATTACGGTAGATGAAGATGTACAATCTTCGAATCTGATTGAATAACCCACTTCTTCACCTAAAACTACTCCCATTTCTTCAGCTACTCTTTTCGCAACGCTTGTGGCAGCTACTCTTCTTGGTTGGGTGCAGCCTATCTTTTTTCCGGATTTACAAAAGCCGGCTTCGAGTAAATATTGTGTCATTTATGTGGTTTTTCCAGAACCGGTTTCTCCAATAACTATAAGTATTTGATTTTCTTGACAGGCTTTTATTAGTTAGTGTTTATATTAATATATAGGAAGACTTTATTATTATTCCCGAATAGTTAAGGTTTGCTTAGTTTTTCCACTTTAGTTTAGGGCAACTTTGAACATTGCCTCTTTTTTATATTCGGGAATTTCCGAGTTTTACATCTGTCCTAGTGTTTTTAATTAACTCATTAATATTCTGGTATCCGCAGTTGGGTCTATATTCATTTTTAGTAATTCCTGTTTATTAACACTGTCCATTATCGCATTATTTTATTAAATACGCATTTCCTTCCTTTCTTTAGCCTATTATATTGCATTTAAGGCTTCTCTTTGTAGACTTCCTTCTTAGTTTTTAACTACTCTTACAGGCGAGAGGTTTACACCGCCTTTTGTAGTTGTATCTTTTAAAAAAGGTGCTTCTCGTTCATTCATTTCGATTTCGACGTCGTTTTCGTCAGAAAGTTCAGCTTCTAGGTCTATTTCTTACTAAGGGAGATCTAAGTGTTTTGTATATTGTAATCGGGAACTTTCCCATAGATCAGGAGAGTCTTAGACTTTTTTTTTTTTCGAGTTTTCTTTTTCTTTTATAGATAATCGAATTCCTGTGAGTGTTCCATATTCGCTTTTTTCGTTTATTTTTAAGATTTCTTTAGGGTCTAATGGACCGAATTTTTTCTCTTCTTTTTGTAGAAGAATGTCATGTTGTTATTAAAGGTGGCTGTTATTTTTTAGAGGAAAAATTGACTTTTCATGGCCTAATAATTAGTCGACTTCTTTCATTGAAAGGCTTATTTTGTTACTTATATTAGAGAGGATCTTTACTTTTACAGTTTAACCGATTTTAACGATTTCCGAAGGATTGTTTATACGTTTATTTGCTATTTAGCTGATGTGGACTAGACCTTCAGTACGGTATTTAGTATTTTGGAGTTATACAAAACAACCGAAATCACTTATTTTGGTAACTATTCCATCAAATATTTAACCTTTTTCAATCGGTTGAGGAGGTTTTTTAGGAGATTTCGATACTTAGGATATTTTATGGGATTTTTTTGGGGAATAGGATCGAGAACGGGATCGATGATATTTTTTGGTTTTTTTTTTTTTTTTTTAAGAGAGGGATGATGAAATGGATCTTTTTTTTTTCTTTTCTTTTGGTTTTTTTTTTTTAGGAGAAGAATCTAGTTAAATTTCTTTATCGTCTCTTAAGGCTAATACAGGGAAAACTTCTTTTATTTTTAAGAGTTTTTCTTTATCTTTTTTTGCTAAACTTTCTAATTCCTCTTAATGATCTTGTTCTTCATTAATATTATTATTATTATTATCTGTTTTATTTATAAACTTTTTTTCTTCATAATTAGTTTTTAATGTTTAATTTTATTAGGATATTTGCTATTTGGATTATTATGATGATTTAGATTTAATTAGTTTATATAAACTGCTTATAAAATCATCTGAAAATTCTGCATCTTCTAATAATTTATATTTAAATTCTGTTTCTGATTTTGATTCTAAGGCTAGATCAATTAAATATTCAGCTAATTCTTTATTCTTTATGCCAATTTATGTTTCTATTTAGGCTGTAACTTATTAACATAATAAAATATATTGCAAACTACTTGTTTCGTTCATTTTTTTTTTTTTTAAATATATATAAGTATATATATGTATATATAAATATTTATATATATTTATATATTTTACATATAAATATATATTTATTATTTTTTTAATAATATTTTTTATTTTTTTAAATTTTATTATTTTTTTTATTGTTTATTATATTATTTTATATAATGTATCTAGTTAAATATTTGTTTTTTTTTTAATTTTATTTAATATTTTTAGATTATTAAATTTATTATAACTAACTTTTATAAAATTTTTATAATTATATAACAAATACATTTTTATTATATAAAAAAAAAAATTAATTAAAAATCCTTTTATTCAAACTATTAAATAATGCTTTAATATTTATTTATTTAAAAATTAAATCAATAATATTATCATTTTTATAAATGATTTTTATTTTATTATATATATTTTTTTAAATATCTTTTATCAATAATATTTAAAAATACACTTTTTTTTATTTAATATAAATAAAATAATATATTTTTTATAAATATATATATTTCATTAATTAATATTTTGAAAAAAATATTATATTATTGTAAAATACATATACTCATAGTCATATATATATTATTTAACTTAAATATTTTAAACACATAACTCTTTTTAACATTTGAATAATAGGCAAATATTTTTCATATATAAAATATTTAAAAGTTTTTTTTTTTTAGTTATTAATCTAAAAAACCAAATTCCTTAATTTCATAATTATAAGCTTTTTCTTTTATATTATCATCTTTTTTTTCCTGAAAGTTTTTTTTTTTTAAAAAAAATCTAATTTATATTCATATAACCATTATTATCGAAATTATATTTATAATCTTCAATATGATTAATGATTTTGGTATTAAAGCTCAATATTTATTTGTGGATGTTAATATTTTATATTATAAATCAGAATTTAAAATGATTATAAAATCTTAATTTATAGGATTATCCCCAAAATATAGGAATTTTTGTAGAATTAATAATTTATATTACTAGATTTTAAAATTATTATAAATATTTATTTGTTTTTTATCATTTTTTACAGAAAAAACTTAATAAATTCTATTTATTATTTTATTGTGGTTTATTATCAATTTTAAACAAGGTTTTAATGAATTTTATAAAAAGATTAATATATGAGTTATATATTGATTTTATTTGGGTTAGATTAATGTAAAGATTTTAGGAGTTTTTATAAAAAAAAATAAAGTATTTGAAAAAATAATTAAAATTATATTTATAATTAAAAATAAATAAATAAAAATTTTATACAAAATAATAAGAATAAATGTTAAAAATATATAATAAAAAAAATAATATTATGAAAAAAAATTATATAAGTAATGAAAAATTATTATTATATTATATTTATTAAAAAAATCTAATATAATTATTAAAAAATAAAATCATTTACATTAATATAATAAATTAAAGAAATAATTTATTATGATATATAAATATAGTATATATATATATATATATTTTAGTA